AAAATATGCACCATAAAAATATCCGTGCATAAACCGGAAAGTACTTTACAAGGGGGGGTACTATACAGAGCGTTTTATGGTAATTAATATATCTCGATTAAGTAAAAATATTTTATTTGCTAAAAATAACAATCTTTAAGAACCAGTCAAATTCGAGTAGCAGCATTCTAAACATATTTGTTTATCGTCATATGACAATTGATCGTTCACTTGTTGTTGGGTTGGTATTAATTGATCGTTTTGGATTATAATTTGATTTCCCAATTATAATACGATTTCCAATTAGAATACGATTTCCAATTAAAATACGATTCCCAAGTCTTTGTGTATTTAAATGAAGCACAATAGCATCGCATACAGGACAATCCGATTTTTTTTAGAAACTAATAATTCTAGATTCACAGTTGCTTCAAGATTCTTGTTACCGTTACGTAATAAAAAAGAATGGCTTTGAGATTAATTAAATGGATTAGTAGATATATCAGTTATAATAACTTTTGAAATAGAGAATAAAAAAAGTGTTACAATGATACAGTGGAACTTTGAATCTTTTTAGATTATCGCGCAGATGTATATGTTGTGCCTCAGATCACAACTTTCCTCACGCTCAGCCCAAATTAAGATTTAGAGTTAGGTTTTGGGTTAATGCTGTGAGATTGGCCAAATATGAGCACGTGAAGTTGTGATCTGAGGCACAACATATACAAATGAAAATATAAACCGGCTTAGACTCTAGAAAGTGTTTTCTCATAAATACGTAGACTGAACTCTAACAAGTATTTTTTTAAAAGTATAAACCGACGAGAATTAAAATATATAAAAAATGAAATCTGTTATAAAGATCTTTTTGTGTCTTTTAGTGGTGTTTGTTATCTTCGGAAATAATTATGTTACCGGTGAAGGTATGTATGACAGCAAAATGAGTTAATAACCATTTCGAATAATATAATTGAAATTTATCCATAATGTAAAAAAGCAAAAAAGCGCTCAGTCGATAAACGTGCACCCGAACCTAAAGCGAAAGCTATCGTAGAACGTGCACCCGAGCCTAAAGCGAAAGCTGTCGTAAAACGCGCACCCGAACCTAAAGCGAAAACTATCGTAAAACGTGCACCCGAGCCTAAAGAAGCGAAAGCTATCGTAAAACGTGCACCCGAGCCTAAAGAAGCGAAA